TACGTACGTTTAGTTATTACTATATTTATTAGTATATTAAGTTAGTACGTTTACTTTTTCTTTACTTACTATCTGTGTATATATATATATATATATATATATATATACACACACACACACACAATAAGCAATATTTTTTTGTTGCTCTGGAAGTATTAATCTATTAATCTGTTTTGTGACAATACCTCTGAAGGGTTATGCATATTACCATTATGTATATCTTGAATAGTTTGTTTTTCTTAATCAGGAAAAGTGATTACATAATTAGTTTTGTTACATTTCAATTTATCTTTGTTGTCCAGACAAGCGAGTATTGGATTCACTTTTTATTATTGGGTGCCATGGTAACTTAACTGAATATAGTCTTGAACCCAGAGTGGCTAGTGGACAACAGAAGGTCACTGAAGAGTCACCAATTGAACTGGAAGTGATGGCACAGGCACAGTGGAATTTACAAAGGTGAGTCGGGGATTTTATCTATTCTCCAAAAAGTGGAAACTTTTATTAACGTGATTTGGGGTTGGAGAGGATATCCCTGTTCTTTGCATTTTGACAGAAAAATTAATTAAATAAATTTAATGAAACTTTCAAAATAATGTCTTGTTTCTAGGTTTTGAAATTTCTGAAAAAATATAAAAAATATTTCCTTTCATCTTACTGATGAGAAAGTTTCATCAGTTTATTTCTTTTGATACGTTATTTTGCTAATTGAAACAGCAAACTTCCTGCTTTAAACCATATAATTATAGTTAGTCTCCAGAAATAAATTATTGTATAGTGTACATTAGTGTGAAAACAGTATATTCAATTTAAAAAAGCGATGGACACATTTAGCTTATCATACTTGCTAAACTTTGATGCCTCGTCGTAGAAGAATATTCCTGTACTTTTAACACAGATATATCATCATCATCAAACAAAAACATTCAAGCCCCTTAATTAATTTGGAAGTATTACAAAGCTGTCTTGAGGTTACTTATTACCCTTTACTGCACCTAATTTTACCCTAACTAATTTACAATTTAGATTACATAGCATTAAAGCTTAGTCTTTCCCTTTTCAAGGCTGAGAACCAGTTGAATTTCTTAATACCCTTCCAGGCAGTGCAGTAAATGCAAGTTGTACAAACAGGAAATAAATGCCAAGCTAACTGAATTTGCTAAAACATTAATGAGAGAAATACAAGCTTGAGAGTATGCAAAAATAAAAAAATTATACTGTTTACACTTCTGACCTAAAGATGCCAAATAATTGAAAAATGAACATTTTAAACATTTATGAAATGAACTAAATAAAGATTTTATATCACTAAGGTACCATTTATGCAATATTTTGTTGAAATAGAATTGCATTTCGAACATGTGCACTAGGAATGACTTGGACTCCTACTGATTGGAAGAATTATCAACCACCTATTTCACAAGCTTTTTTTTGTGCACGGCAGATGTAGATTATAAAGCCCATGTAGAAAAAAATTATTGATAGATAAAATGTTTTAATGTCACTCTTAACGTATCAAATGCACTATGAACAACAATACTTGTATGAGTTAGTAGCATGCAGTGTACTGAGATAACATAATAACAGTTACTCATTATAAGATGTACTGGAACCAAGCATAGTCTAATGGTTAGCATGCCAGATTATGAATCTGTGGGTCAAATATTCTCATTAGGGGGGGTTGAGAGAGTTATAAGTGTGACAATCATACTCAATAGCCCAAGAATGAATAATGGGTGTTGTTGATTAACTGCATTTCCTCTATCAGTTCAAAGTTAAGGATGGTTAGTTCAGAAAGGCCACAAGCAGCCTTGCATGAATATCTGAAACAAACAGAAAAAAACGATAATATGTTCTGGGAGTTTATGTAATGGAAACTTGCATATAAGAAAATTATGAAAATCAATTTAGAGAAAACTATAATTTTGTTCAGCATAGTTTGCATTTAATGTATGGATTCACTATTTTGGAGTAGACAAATCATGTACTTATTTTCTCATAGGTTACACTCTTCGGCTGAGCTTCGACCTCCACTACTCAGTACAAACCCCCTCATTATAGCCAGTGAGAATTTTGTAGCCCTACATAGTGGGAAGGACAAGAAGCAGGGTAAGTTGATCTTGTCATTTTCAATAGCTGCTAACCATGGACAATCAGGGGCAATTAATATTTGGAGCATAAAACATGCTTAAACTTTTTTTTTTATTGTGTAATTGGAGGACCTACACCTTTAAGTCTTTGATGTATTGAGCAGGGTCCTTAGGTAAACTTTAAGTTAGGTTAATTTGATGAATGTGACAGAACATCATAACTTTTCAACTGTAAGTTACTGCCGTATTAACTCCCCCCCACCTTAGAATGCATTGTTCCAGTTTCTAAAGTAGACAATGAACATGTTCTTGTGTTATGAATATTGCATAACCTTTTATTGGTATTCTTATGCTTTTAAACTACAGAGCATGTAATAAACAACAATACGTTGAGCTTCATTAACAGTCGTGATGAATATTGGTACCCAGACAGGTCTAGACTGTATGAAGAATAATATACAAGTTTCAACCCTCACAAACTGGAACAGATTATATTTTATTGTTAAAGCCTCCTGGTATGGAAATTTGATACTAGTACTTTGCAAGCACAACTGTAGTTTAGTGTGTGAGAAATTTCTCAAGCATGTGTAACATAACATTGAATAACTTATGTATAGATTTAGATGAACAGATTGCTGTCGTATCAAAGACTCCTAAATACTTATTATTATCATTAGATAGTGGAATATCATATTCCTCAGCTCTTGAAAGTGGCAAGGACCAGGAAGGCCAGTCAAATACTAAAGAAGACATTGAAGATAGCTGGTTATCACAGGCAAGTTAATAATATGTACTATGTAAACTTGAATCTCAACATCTGCAGCTTGAATAGTAATTGTAGCTTTTAAACACTGAAAAAAAAAATTAATAATTGCAAATGCCTTATACAGGTGTTAAATGACTTTCAAGCTCAGTATTGGTTTCATTATGGTGGATGTACATTTTGTCATTTATCCAGTTTTAACTTGATTCAAAAACTTTGTTGTATGCAGTTAAGTATTTTGTGCATAAGAAGAACTTGTGGTTAAATTACAGTTTACTTTGTGGAAGTTTGGTTTATAATATTTTTTCCCACCAGGTGGAGATTATAACTCATGCTGGACCTCCAAGAAGGCTCTGGATGGGTCCACAGTTTACCTTCAAAACTTTTCATCACTCCTCTAACACAACTGTGCTGTCCTCCACGTCGTCAGCATTGCTCTCGGATAGCCCCGAGATATCTTCATCCACTCTAGACTTCCAGCCTGATGGAGAAGATCTGCACAGGTCTGGAATATTACCATACAAAGAATTTTATTTCTAATTTGTGTTACTGAACTTTTGAAATAAGCGTAATCACTAATGATATGCATACATTTTGTTCAACATATTGCTGTATTTATGAAATTAAAATTCAATGTTGATGAAAGTTTGCCATGTTGGTTGTAAATTGGAAAAATAAACACTTTTCTGAAATTATAACGTATGGAACACTTCCTGTATTTTCAACTATGCAATAAACATATATGAATGTAATAAAGTACTTAATTGAAAGTGTGGAATAACATAATACTTGTCTGCCCATTTGTATTAACCTTACTAAAGTCAAAATGCATGTGCATGGTTTTGAAATACGTGAAAAACAGATTAAAGAAAATATTATCAAATTTATCATGTTTAAAATTTGTTAGTAAAAATTGATTTTTTTAAATCAAAAATTGGAATAGTTATTAGCAACTTCTAGCTTTGTTTAAGTGCCAGTCCTTGCTTGTACTAGTGTTATGAATAAGATAGTGAAATCATCTCTCAACATTTATAACAGTTTTGTTTTAAGACTGTTAACTTGACTGAAGTACATTTTACCTTGTCCAGTCTTTAGTGTTATTAGGAACTACTTCCTGGGTAAAGGAGAAAGCTACGTTTACCAAGGTTTAATGTTGTTCTAGTTAAGCAGATCTATTATTTGTGTTCATAATGTTTTCAGTATTAGAAATTGGTCACTAAGAATCTACTTTGTAACCAGCATTAGGCCTGTCCGGTCCAGTCCTATGACAATGCCAGGAGACCACCAGACACACTCCAAACCATCTGCTTCACCTGTTCTGATAGAAGCCACTTGTAGTTGGGGTATGTTTATCAAATTAGGTCACCCCTTAAGCTTTTTTAATTACCAAAACCAGGTGACTTTATATTATGACTGGAGTTGTGGACTTGGTCTTTGCATAAGCCTGATTTCTTTTATATGGAGATTGCCTTCATCATTGACCTTATTAAAAATGCTTCAAGTAACTTGAATAGATGTCTACTTGCACTAATATAAGGTGTACTTAACTACTCTTGGCTTAATCTAATAAGCACTTTGGTACTTGCATGTCCATTCACACAATTCTCTAGACATCTCTACACAAGGCCACATTGGTGCCTCCACCAGATAGCTACAGACTCAGCCGTCTTGCATGAATGAACATGGAAATATCAAAATGCCTATCATACTGACACACTTGTATACGTTAGGTGAGGTATGCATTCAAATTATTTTAAGATCTTAACTAAGGCCAATGAGAAACAAAGTTTCCATATATAGAGCCTGCTTTATCTTGGACTGAGGTCCTCAACTCAGCATATAGTTTACTTAAGCTTTATTGTGTTACTTTAAAGATCATCATTGTATATGAGACGCCTTCCACTTGATTTTGAGCTCCTCAGAGAGAAGCATGTAACTAAAAAAAGGTCTACCATATTTGTTTTTATTGTCCATTTCAAGCATGCTTACGTACCTAAAGGTTCATATTATTGCAACTCATAGTTTAGTAACACTATTAGAGTGCAAGGCTTTTTTAAACATTTTCACAATATAAAATTGAAATTAAGAAAATTTAACAGTAAAATGTTAAAGAACAGTTTCACATCTCTGAAATTTTAAATTCTTTTACCTGTTATAAAGCCATAATGGCTCAAGTTATTTTTTTATCTTAATTAACAGGTAGTATTGTTATTTCTCTAACCTAGACTGTAATATTTAAGTTCTCCAAATGCCAAAATCAAACTGATGTGATGAAAAGTGAAATGCTGCAAATTTCAAACAGAAAGTATGTTGGTTACCTTACTTTCTTGAAGCCTAAGTACTCCTCCATGAAACAGCAAAGGATTGTTAACATTATAAGAGATAGTGAGGCTTTCACTGCAAGGAGTTAAAATCCTTGTAGTAATAGCATAACCGATTTTGTTATGCTTATTGTTTAGGGAGTTTTGAACAACATTCTGGTATACTGGAGGTATGTGGTGGCCAGACAGAAGTAGGAGTGGTTGCTCCTCCGCCTGGTAAAGCAACAAAAGAACGGGGGCAGATAGAAGACAAACTGAGAGAATCTCTGGCTGATGCTATGATAGAAACACCAGCAAGAGACACCACAACTATTGATCCACATCACAACTATTGATCCTCCTAATAACACTGGTATGTTGAAAGATATAATATAGTTCAATTATGGCTGATGCTATGATAGAAACACCAACAAGAGACACCACAACTATTGATCCTCCTAATAACACTGGTATGTTGAAAGATATAATATAGTTCAATTATGGCTGATGCTATGATAGAAACACCAACAAGAGACATCACAACTATTGATCCTCCTAGTAACACTGGTATGTTGAAATATGTAACTTAGTTCAGTTAT